TGCAGCTGCGGCTTTGCCTACAACATTTGTTGCATGCCACAGCCTGCCTGCTGCACTTGACTGTTAGCGACAACTGCAACAGCAATAGCAATAGCAAGAACAACAGCAACAGCAACAACGACATTCACCATTTGGCTGCTAAAAACAGCATAACGTAATTATGAGTTGCCATAGGTAATGGCATTGGCAACAAGAGCTCCTGCACCTGCAATTGCAATTGCTACGACTGTTGCTGCTGCTGCTGCTGCTGCTGCTACTGCTAGACGACCATCAAAGCTGCTGCTGCTGCTGCTGCTAAAATAAAAAATAAAGCTTTTCAAGTGACATTCGTACAGTTTTTTGCTGCATATTCGTTTCACTGTTTCTTTTTTCTCCGTTTTGTTTTGTTTTGTATCAACTCTAAAACGCCGCAAAACGGCCAAGAGCCCACTTCGTTCACACTCGATGCGTTAGCATGGTCGGCCAGGCCAGGCCAGCGCAAGGGGATGACAGTTTCGCTTACCTGACAAACAGGCAGGACCTAACTGCTGTTTTATAGCAAAATATTTACGATTTGGTATGTAAAGTGGCGTTTCTTGTGCGCTTTTCCGGCACCTTCGCTGTACGCTTTTAAAAGCCTCTGGGGCTTTTGTTTGCACACACACACACACACACACCAGCACTCACAGGCACACACACTCAAGCGCTCACACACTCACACAACAGCAGTCTGGTAGAGCGTTTTAGTTGGCAAGCCTTTTTCATGTCCTGTCAAGTATTTGGCTTTGTCACAGCCAGCTAAATGCTTCAAGTGTAATGCCCGATGATTCGTTACATATAAGTTCGCTGGAAGAGTTGCTGTTGTTGTTGTTGTTGTTGCTTCTGCATTGCTTTAATGTATTTTTTACACTTTGTCATTTAGTTGATTGCACAGATTCATTGTTCACTGTTTGTCCAGCCAGTCTGCACGAAATGCCATCTCTCAGCCTGTTAATATCAATTTGTAAAGCTTGACATTTGTCAGCTATTTGTTTGTCGTCTCTGCTGCTCTGGTTCTGGCTGCCTCCTCCCTCCTGCCGTCTGCTGATTTGCTTACTGGGCTCAACTGTCAATTTTGTCCTGTCACTGATTCACTTATTCGCTTCAGCCCTAATTGGTTTCGCATTACCAGACTGACTCGAATGACACTCAAGTAGAAAAATTGTATGTCGTAATTTAGCATGAAGGTTATTCTACTCTATGTATTGTATTTTGAAATATTATCTTATTATACAGAGAATCCATTATAAATGAGAAATCGGGAAATAATGGTTCTGTTGCGGTATTTAGGTATCTTAAAGGCAGACGGAGGTGTGACAGACCCCATCAAGTGCATATATTCATGAGCATCCTGGTAATGACAATTTATTGAGTCTAAGTAGACCTGTCTGGTATTTGCCGTCTGTTTCTCAGGTCTAGGATATCTTATAGTAAGGCAGTTCAAATGTATTTGGGAAATCATATTCAGTTTGGTTTTCTAGCTATAAATGAAATATTCAGTGTTCAGAAAACATTTTCCATTTACCATTTCAGCACGAAGTGTTTCTTTCAATTCGCAGATGCCTTTGGCCACTTTGGTGCTGGATGGAGTTTGTTGGCAATCCAGGAGGACTTTTGACATTCTGTGGCTGGCTAAGGGCGAGAAGACTTGTGGAAAATATTTAATTAAAATTAAAATATGGCAGCTGCTCACAGCTACATTCCATGACACAAATCGCACTTAATCCATCTGCAGTTTGCTGCTGCTACACTTTGGGGCAATAAATCTAAAGGCAACTCGGTTCGCTCTTCAACCAAACTACTCCTAACTAATGCGAACACACACCCATACAGACACACACCCATATATATATATATATATAGTTACCAACAAATATATAGATATATGTATATATAGCGCCTGCAGCTGATCTTCTGCTGCAACTGCGCCAGTTACTACTGCAACTGGCAGTGGTGCTGCAGCTCGGACCTCGACTTCCTGGCTGCGCTCCACATTTTTGCCACGAAGATTTTAACTGTCAGCAAGTTGGGCGACTTAATTTGAATTTACGGCACCAAGAGGAACGGCTCGCACTGTTCGCACTGTTCGCTCTGGGTCGTGCTCGACTATTATATAGCACAAACACCATTAAATACTGAGTGGAGCTTCTAATGTGTTTATTGTTGTTACTGTCCCTGGATCGGGCTCTGGTGCTGGTGTGGTCTGGTCTGGTCGGGAAAGGTCTGCTCAGTTCTGCACGGGGATGGGCTGGGCCTCGTGTGTGCGCGACAATAATATTCAAATACTATGCTGCCTGGCTGCAGCTGCCTCTCTTACTTTTTTTTCGCCTTTGCTCGCGTGTGTGTGGGCGTGGCATGACGACGAGTAGTCAGCGCCTAGGTGCTCACTATCCGCCCATCCACGATGATTATACCGGCACTCTCACACCCACTCACACTGACACTCTGGCTGGCATTCGCAGTCATGCAGCTCGGTGCGCTCTCGAGTCCCGCCTGCATTTTCATATTTATGTGTCTCTAGATAGCGCCACAGCAGTCAAAAGTTCTTCGTTCACACTCTCCACACACACGCATACAAACACACTTGACAATGTGTGTGTTTATATGTTTATATGCTAATACTTTAGCACACATGCCGAGCACTATTATCGGGTCTGCCACTTAGGCGTCGAACTTCCGCTTTCCTGCTGTTGGATCTCAAGGCAATTGCGCAGCATTGCAATTTAGGGTCTGAGCTTCGTCTCTCTCTCTCTATCTGTGTGTGTGTGTGTGAGTTGGTTGTAAAATGAATTTTACTTCATTTTGATATGTTTTCCCTGCTGGTTTAGTGTCGGCCACATAAATACATGTGTGCTGGGGTGTTTTGTCTGTTTGTTTTGCCCGCTGACTGCACTATCGCAATGATAATAAATTTTATTAATCTTGCTGTCACACAAAACACACACATACACAGACACACACACACAGACACACACACACGCAGAGACACACAGAGTGAGGCAAGGATGCATATTTCTCTAGCCCTCGCCCACGCCTTGCCACTCGCTGATCAAGTGCTCAACCTAGTACTCAAATATGTAAACCTGCCCCCCAGCCACATGTGATTAGCGACGCGCACGCCAGAAGCCCAAGGCCCGAGCGCGCGAGTGCGACTTGCAATTTATTTTCATTTCTCGATGCACAGCTAACGGCTAACAGCAACACAAGCCCATTTCCACCTACAGCAGCGACTGTGTCAGAGAAACGCCAGAATTTATGATACGTGTCCAGAGTGACTTATTTGGAAACAACGCAGAATTTGGCAACACTTAAAAGGGAGTTTTAGAGATTGCACAATTTATATAATTAAAGCTTAATGCTCTGTAATTATAAATAATGCATCTTGTAATTCAGCCCATTGAATGGGCCTCTCTAGGCACTCAGCTCAGCCCGTGTGCAAGGGCAGCTAATAAAAAATGTATTCAATTTCTGCCTCAGTCAAAGGCGCGCTCAGCGAGTGAAAGTGCATCGAAAAATCCCCAGGCCCTGCCAGCAATTAAAACCAGCCAACGGCAACAGATTTACTAAAGCCTATGCTGGCCTTTGCTGTGCTGCTCTGCTGCTGTCTGTGACGGGCTGCGCTCTGAGTCCTTCGTCCTTGGTAAGCGCTAAGCAGCAAATTTGATGATGTCGACCGCAGTGCACTCGTGTTTAAGCCGCAGCTGTCTGCTGTCTGCTCCTGCTGCTGCTGTTGCTGCTGCTGCTGCGACTCCTGCTGGCTCTGTTGCTACAGGAAATGCAGTAGAAAAATCAACAAATGCCGGAAATGCGCCGCTGCGATTAAAGTTTTTACATTAAAATTTGGGCCAAAGAGGCGGCCGGCTGGGCTGAGCTGGGCTGGGTTGGCCTGGGCTGGTTATGTAGCTGACGGGGGCTTGTGGTCCCCGCGGATGCTGTGGCTGCTTTTGCAAAATCTAATTGCAAAATTTTATTTAGCGACAGCCTTTCAGCGTGCACATGAAACATGGGTTCGCTCTCTGCGCCGACTATGCATAGTTTCCTGTCTGGTCGCAGTAAATCATGATATTTATTTGGCCAAATACAAGCTAGTGAGAGAGGCAAAAAAACAAAACAACAAAAATATGGCAAATGTTGTCAGTTCTTTGAGTGGACGCAGCCCCGCGGCAGTTTCATTTGCTGCTGTGGCATTAATTTAAATATCGTTTTTAATTCAGTTTTGTTGGCCAAACTCATTGGCCGAAGCCTCAAAGAATGCTCGCCCCGCAGAGTCAGAGTTGTTTATTATTTAATTAAAACTAATTGAAAGTTTTGTCTTTGTCGTCGTTAGGCGCCAGCGGCCGTCCGGCCGAGCAGCAGTCAATCTCGTAATTTGAACATAGCCCAAATGCCCAGAAATGATTTTTGGCCAAACACTGTTCTGACTGGCTCGTCCCACAAGGACAACAGCAGAAGCAGTTGCAGTAGCAAGAGCAGATATGCCATGCACTTGACTGACTGACGTTTTGCCAAATCTGTCAGAAACTAGACAGAGGGCCGGAAATAGGAGAGATGAAGAGAGAGATAGAGCAAGCAGAGAGCGAGAGACCTGCTGCTGTGCTGCCGAGAATCCTAAACTTGTCCTGCTCGAGTACACTTTAAAAGCGAGCGCTGGCAAACTGGCAAAGCAAAGTTTAAGGACCTTCTGCCACAATTAAGCAAACGTTGCTAAATGAGCTACATTCTTGGACGACCCCGACAAAATGAGCAATCAAAGTGCGACAAATGGAGGCAGGTGAAGTGAACTTCAGAAAACTTTCTAGGAAATTTGTCACGCATAAGACAGTGGGTTAACTGAAGCAGCTTCAATAATGGCTATTTATTTCGTAAATATATTGATCGAATAACCATTGAGAAGAATACCCCGTTAAATAGTGACAAAAAGTAAAGCGCGAATTGGAACTGAATGGAATCCTGCTGCTTGTGATATATCGAGTTATCAGAAATCACTTCTTTAGCTTCTTGAATAGGCGTGGTACCTTGAGGAATGTACGCGACTTGTTCTGAAGTGGTGTTGGCTCAGCAACAAAATCGTCCGTCTGCTCTCGAACTATCTTGTCAGACACATAGCCTGGGGCGGCTGCCGGCAGCATGAGCGATCGGGTCTTAGATAGTCCAATCGGCTCGACCTTACATCTATTGGCACCAGGCTTAGGCGAGACAGTTACCACATAGGAGTAAGGTCCGGGATTACGCGGACGTTTCTCTGGTTGCTGCTGCTGCTGCTGCTGTGGCAGTTGCATGAGCAGATTTTCGATTTTACTGTCTATGGGCGAATCAGCGGATTTCTGAGTGGGAAAGGAATCTGACCTGCTGCAGCTTCTACCCAGAAGCACACTGGAGGTCGACTTTCCGCTCAAGCAGGTCGAGCTGTACATCTTTTGTAAGCTCGGCCGTGACTCGGTTTGGGGCAGCGAAATGGGCGTCTGCAAGTCGAGAGAGAGGCTCGAAGTGGACTCCGAGATCGGTGCATCACGCTCAATGTCAAATGTGGCCTGGCGCCTGATGCGCAGCTGCTCCAAGACTGACTCAGGCTCGTCGGGCTCGTTCTGCTGCTGCTCGCGCAGCCTTTCCAGCTGAATGCGGATCTCTTCGATCCTTGACAAATTCGGCGACAGATCCTCTGTGCTGACGGCATGTGCAATGGGTGTGTGCGAGTCAGTTTCCTGAGGCTCTGGACTTTTTTCCTCGCCCTTCAGCATGTCCAGCTGCAAGAGCTGCAGATCCGCCTGAAAGTTCAGCTCATCTTGAGCGTCCTTCTCCGCCTCCGTCAAGGGCTCCGTATCGTAAGCCGGTCTCGTATGCTCCAGCCAAGGCAGCACTGCGCACTGCCGCTTGATGCGCTTCATACACTTCTTCTCGCGCTTCGACAGGGCGATGTGCAGCTGGTGGCGACTGCGAACACAGACCCCGTCGACTAGAATGAACGGCATGCCCGAACTGTCGAACTGGGCAAGGTCCTCCAAGCCAGCGAGTCGATCCATGGCAGCGTCATTGTTGTATGCTGTGTTGGCAATATTTGGCTTGCTCGCCAAAGCTGTGCTGCCCAGCTCCATGGCCTCGGTCTTGGTGCCCGTGCGGTTCTTCTTTTTGCTCATTGTGGCTGCGGGCAGGTGGCAGCAAAGCGTCATTCAATTGCCTTTTGGCAGCTAAATGCAAATCAAATTTGTCGCCCAACGAGTGCCACATATGATAAATGATTTTCACGTGGTCTTATGCCAGCTGGCGCACTCATCGCATTTGATTTGCATTTAATTGCAGCGGAAATAATGTGAGACGTGTCTAGACGCCATCATCCGCCCGCCTTGGTGACTTACCTGAACGGCGAATAGTTCCCACTGCTGTACTTCGAAATTTAAATCTCTATAAAGCTCTCCGGCAGAAATCAAATTGAAAGGGATATAAAAAGTTTCCTCAACAGAAGAATAAACAGAGAAAAAAAATTTGTTGCTTTAAGTCCTCAAGCGTCCTTTGAGGCCAGGCGCACGTGCACTTGTGGCTGCCAGGCGCCTGCTGCTTGGCTCCTTCGGATTTGTGGGCGGCGCAATCCGTACAACAAAACTTTACTTTGTTCTGATAAAAACTTAAATGTTACAGTTGCCGCGAGCTGCCGTAAATGCTTGATATCCCCAAAAGGTTAACAGTTTTGGCTGCTGCCGCTGCTGCTGCTGCTGCTGCTGCTGCTGGTGGTCCCGGCTCTGCTCTGCACTGCTTGACGTTCGCTGTGTTTACAGGATTTTTATATTTTTGTTAGTTTTTTGTTTTTCAGTCTTTTTTCGTTTATTTTTGAGAATTTTGCAAAACCACAAGAATTGAAGTGCCCGCTCCACAAACACAGCACCACAATCAGGCAGGCGCACACACACACACACACACACAGATACGAGGGCACTCCGTGCGTGGCTCTCTGTGGGTTGTGTAGTCTTCTGTTTCTCGGCCGCTGGCTGCTACATTAGGAGAAGCGAGCTCAGTCGAATTTGGTCATTTAACAGGAATAATTTGTATTTAATGAAATATATGTATATGTGCCAGCAGGTCGGAGCCTTTAAGGCTTGAAATTTGAAATAACATAGCCAGCAAAGGGTCTCAACCTTGATGTCAACAAACAGCCAGCCTACTTTGACAAGCCGAGTTTACCAATTTATATCGTATGCAGTTCATCTGTCTCTCTGCTGTCGCAGCTCCACTCCGCTCTCTTACAATCGTTTACGATATAAAGTGTACTAAAAAAGCTCTCGCATCCCGCCAGCCGAGCCATTTCCCGAAGCTGACAAGAAACACGAGCCCGACGCTGCCGCAGCCGAATCCGATGCCTGGCTCGGCCTCAACGCCACGTTGGCTGTGCCCACGCCAGGAGCCGCTCAGTCTGAATCGGTTGGGTCTACGGCACGGACGTAACAGCGGCTGGCCTGAGGCAGCAGCACGGGCGTTAACAATAATAACTGCGGTTGTGGATTTAGCTGCCAAATATCAACGTCAATTCGACAAGTTGGCATTATGCCGTACGTACAACTCGACACAGCATTGCCGCGTTCACGTCAGCCTGTGCACTCGGTCACCTGTCCGGGCGTGAAAATTATTAGTGTGCAATTGTATTCAAAGTGCGCGGGCAATTAAAGTTTCAGAGCCGTTGACGAGTGAAGTCTAATGGCTGCTTGATGCAAGTCACGACATAAATTGCATGTCCAGGTTGTTAAGCGACATGAATAATACGCAGAAGAGACGGTTATAGTGTGAGTGTGTTTGTGTATGGTAATGACAGACGTGTCAGTTACTCCAGTGGAATTCTAAGTATAACAAAAATAATTGGTTCAGTGGATCACTTCAAGAATATTTATCAAAAATGGAACTGACATGTGGAGCATTGACTGCCCAGAGGACTTAGCGCACCCAAAAACCTAACTGAAATATGTAAGTAATTATGTCGAACCTTTTCATGAAAGTAGTTCCAGTAATTGCCATTTAGTCGCAACTTCAAAGCTCCATTCTAATGTAGTAGTTGTCAACTGTACGTAAGCTAGTCTGTGGAGTCAAACAATTGCATAAACAATGCATGGAAGTGTGTAAATTATTCGGTTACTTCGCCCCACAATAGCAGATACACAATGGGGGCCAGGCTGTGGGTATTGGCAAAGGCAAACAGTTTAGCGTCCCGTCATAAATTCAATTAAAATTCAATCGCAAATATATGCAAATTAAACAAGGGTTAAGCCCGCCATTGAATAACAGCAAACAATGTCTGTCGTATGTTTGAATTGAAAATCTATATACCTCCAAATACATATGCATATACAAACATACGCACACTTTGTGTGCTGTGTCACAGGCTATGCCTCGTTGGGGTTGACTGATCAAGTGGCGCCTTATTAACGTTTCCAGCATTTCTGAAATATGCAAGCCCCAAGGCATCGGCTTCAGTAACACTCTTTCAATATTGTTGCTGCCACTTGAGCGAAACTTTAATTTTTTTTCACACTTTACTTGCCAAAAACTTTTGAAGTTTTGTGTCATTTTTCTTCAAGAATTTACGTCTCAAACATTTTACTTTGACATTCTTCTTTTGTGCTGCGAAAGTTTTATCTTTGCAAATTATACGCATTACCAAGACCTCAACGTTGCCGTCGAGAAGTTTGAGTCTTAATTGGCATGCCATGAAAGCCAGCTATATATTTTTTATTATTAATTTATTAACATTTAATGAGGATTTTCAAATTAATTAAAATAGTAAATTGGCTTAAAATTAAACATGAATAAGTAAATGAATTTATTTTCTAATTAATTTCTATATTTTTTAGCTATCAGACTCAAATCAATTTTATATAAATTTTTTTGCAAAAACTTTGCACATTTTCTAAATGAACTACATTAAGCCGAGTTTCCTTTTGGCACTCCCCTTAATTTCCGGCTTAGACAATTTGCGAAAACACGCCGTCATCTTCTTTTCTCTTCTCTCTCCCCTTCCCCTTCCTCTCCCTCTTGGCGCTCTTAGCTTCCCCTGCTGTTTTCCATCAGATATGACTTTGCGCGTAATTTTAGTTTCACTTTCACCAGAGACAAAAGAAACGGCAGCTGTTTGCTTTTAATTTTAAAGGCAACACTGCTGCAATATGTTATACATCAAGTTTACTTAAGGTTTCACACAACAAAAGTAATACAATATGAAGCAAAATAAACGAGCTCATAACTCATACGCCGTGTGGGCCGCAGCCAACTCGCGGATTTCCCCCACTAGCGTGGGACTTTATTCTTTATTTCTTCCCTTAAATTTATTCCCATACCCAACAAATCTTGTATGAAGCAGTTCATTCTTTGACTCTGCCTGCCTCTGAGCTGCCTGTGCGGTCACCCAGCGGCAACTCAAGCGGCACTTCTGCTGCAACCGCAAACTGTTGGCATAGGAATGTTGGCGAAATTGCTGCTGTGAGTGGGGGTTGACATAAATAACTATTTTTACACATTTATAGTATTGGATATGCGGCGGGTCATATTAAAGCGCCCTTAAATCGTCAGTTATAAATTTTGATAATTAATTAGAAGTCGCAGTTAGCCGAAAAGGTGTCCTGCTCTTATCTTAGTCAACAATTGCTGTTTGCTTAATATTTACACAAACAACCTGCCGTGCCTTGAGCCTCGCTTTGCTTTAAATATTGCAATAAGTAACGAGGCTGTGACAAAGAAAAATAACGGAAGATTAGAGCTCGCCCCATCCTTGTTACCAAGGTCCACAAGCAACGGAACTGTGACAAGAAGTCACCGAATTCCGACGTGCCTCTGCCACAATTCAGCTCAGCATTGTCAACAGAGTTGCCGTGTTGCAGCTGTTGTTGTTGTTGCTGCTCTTGTTGTTTGTGTGCTATGTACTCATTTATATTTTATGAGCCTTGCACCTGAAACAGCAGACATAGACACACGCCAAGGCAGAAAAACTCATACGGCGGAGCCGGCATTAAAAATTAAAGTTTTACTTGTCATTGAGTGTCGCTTGCTTTTATCGCTGCCTGTCCGCTTTCTACTCATATCATATATCGTGTATGTACCATATATGCACTAGCCCTGATATTATTCTGTAGACGTTGATTTAATTTTAGTCTATGCGCATGGTTTACCCACAAAGCCTAGAAATTTTAGACTCTTAAGTGGTAAACACTTAACAAAAATTAATAAGTATAAAATTTTAAATAGGCAAGCAGCACTAAAAAAAAGCATAAAGTTGATTGTGTGCGTGCTGAAATGGCAAAGTGTGTGTACCTGCGCATAGGTAATCATAATTTATTTATTTTATAGTTAGTTTAGGCATGGATAATTTTCAACGTTGACGCACACATAAAAAGGCCATAAACACTTTGCCCACACACTCTCTCCCACACACACACACACACACACACACACACGAAGCAGAGACTCACACACACACACACACACATAAACTGGTTTTATTTTGCAAGCATAATACTTATCAAGCGAAACGTAAAAATACGTACATTCATGTTTATTTAAGAGCCACTGCAACACACATACGAGTATCCTGTGTATCTTTTATGAGCTTACGCCACTATATTTAACCACTGTGTGGGCTCAACGCTTCAGGAGACTGACCCAAGGGTTCACTATAAAATAGAATATATAGCCATGTCTAGCAGCTCCGGATGTCGCATTTCAATGAACATTCGTAAATTTGTAGCAGCTGCGCCGTTTTCAAACTAGAATCCAATGAATATTTGAATCCAAAAACTATGTTTGCTGCAAATGAAGCTCAATTGTCCTTTTACTAATAACTTGTTGCCAACAATTAACATTCAACTATTTTAATTAAACAAAAGTTTCATTTGGATTTCAATAGACTTCAATTCATTTATTTACAAAAACAAATTATAATAATAATTCATAAATTATTTTTATTATACTATATTCATTAAACTGCATTCAAGACCCAACCAAAAGCACAAAGCACAAAATCGGATGTTTTTATTCACTTTTAAATGTTTCATAAATTCAATATTTATCAATAAATGATATAAAAAGAAAATCTGATCCTTTGACGTTCTTTGGGTTTACATTAAAATATTTTTTATTAATAAAGGATTTATAGAAAACTATCAAAAGTATTTAATTGATTGTTTTTTTATTCAGTCTAAATGAATGAAGGATTAATAAATAAGTGCTTAAAACGACATATATGTAATACTGTGAATATTCATATTCCACAAAATTTACAGTATAAGATGAACAGAAATAATAAAACTTAATTTATATTATATGCAGAAACTAATTTTACTTAGATAGGTTAACAAATTCTCATTTAACAATAAACGAAATTTCGACTTTGCCACAGTAATATAATAGTTACATTAAACAGATTACCCCATGATATTCAAATGACTGACGTTCAGGCAATTTAAGTGATCCACTTAATTTTACATTCGTTGCTAATGTAAAATTTATATTTAAATTGGATTAAGTGACAAACATTTTGACTTGTGCCAACAACAATTTGGCCTGCCGGATTTTAATGTGATTTTTGGTAATGCAGCTTTTGGCCAGGCCTGCAATACGAGCAGCGACAAATATTTGCACTCCCCAGCATATCCCATGCACTCAAATTGTATGTGTGTGTGTGTRTGTCAATTTGTTAATTTTGAGTGTGGGTCCCTATGCGCATTTGAAACCAAAATCAATATTATGCGCAAATAGGCAGCAGCTTGACATCTTTGACATGTGGTCAGAGAGTGCAAATGGGATTTCGTGGGTCAACGTATAAATTTAATTTGTCAGTTGATAGCAGCTTGCGCATTAAATAATAAATAATTGATGTAGCACGCAGTCAATTTTTTCGCATTAATTATCCTTTTTAGGATGCACCAAATAATAGTAGATATGTATGTATAACTAAACATATGTATATATATGTGACAGTTCAAATAAGCTCACACCCGGAATGAAGCACATGACCCCAAAAAGTTAGAGCAACTATCTGAAAGATAAACAACTGCAAACGCTCGGCCAGACCAAAGGGACAAGTTGTCCGGTTGCTTTTGCTTGTTTTACA